TTCCAGCTCCTCTCCCAATTCCAAAGGAGTGATGGCTTCTCAGTTGCATGGTTGTGAGCAAGGAAATTTCTTGTAGCGTCAGGGATGTAAGGAGGCTAGCAGGGGAGGGGAGGTTTCCAGGCTGCCTTGGGAAGTGTGGCTTGGAATATGAATTCTGGGGGAGGAGAGAAGAAGGAGATGGGATGGGAAATCTCAGACTCTGTGCAGATAATCCGCTTCCTAAAGCCTAGCCCCAAACCCTACTTTGAGGAGAAAAAAACAAAAGGGCTGGCAGGCCCAGACTCTGGCCCTGTCCCATTCTGACTTCGGAGTTTTATATTTGGAGACAATTCGGAAGACCTTTCGCTGATTGGTCATTAATCCAGTGAGTTATTGTCTGCTAAACAGAGGTCACTGGGCGAGAAACATCCAATCTGTCAGGAGAGGCCCGCTCAGCCTCGGGGACTGGGCCCATTCCTCTTTTCCTGTTTCCCCTCCCTTTCCCAGCACCCCCTGCAGCCCCTAAGCTGCCCAGGATTTGCAGCCTCCCTTCCTCTGCCTTCTCTGCTCTGACCACCTTTGTCTCAACACTTTCTGGGGGTGGGGTTTGCCAGGCTAAGGCTGAGCTGCTAGATGAGGCAGGAGCCCTGATTCAGATAGGGATCTATCACCACCAAAGCGCCCACCTGCCTGAGGCTCTCGACTTCGCTGGCAGCACCGCCATCCCCTCCTCATTAGTGTGTTAAGGCGGGCCTCCATGTCATCGAGTGGACTTTGCAGACCTTTGTGGGTGCCCTTTTTGTCCTGCCACCCCTTCACGGACTCTGCTGGCGAGAGGGCAGCGCCCCCACACATGGGATAGGGAAAAAGTACAGCTTGGATTTTTCTTCTTCCACTGTAGCGACCTTTTTCTTCTTTTGATCCCCACTATTGCTGAGCAGGGTCTAAGCGGGCCTTCTCTTCTCCCTTCCCGGTGCTTCTTTGTTCCCTCCCTCTCTGGCTTATTGGAGAACTGGGAATGGGGATCCGAATGCCAAGAGCCTTCTTCATTAGCAATTCCCACTTTACAACCCCCAGCTTTGACATCTTTATTAATACTTAAGGGAAGATGGAGATTGGGGTGAGTGTGTGAACTCAACGCCAGTCTGCCAGGGCTACAAAGTTGGGCAGTGAAGCTGGAAAACAGTTTGGGACTGGGAACCCAGACAAGGCCAGGGAGAAGCACATCGCCAAATACCTCACTTCGGGCTCCCAGATCCCAGCTTCCCAGCTAGCTGGTGGACCAGGCGAACTTTGTGTTGATTGAGCCAGGGGCAGGATCTTTGACTGCCCCAAGCCTAAGATCGGAAATCGGTTTTAAAAGAGCCAGCCAGTTTGCTCTTATTGAGAGAATTTTTGTTTGCTAGTTGATGCATTTTTGGAGGAGGAGAGAAACAGGCGCGATCCCATGGAATCTAGACGGGTGGGCAGCCCTTGGTTGCTCAAGGGGGTTTAAAGTGCTCCCATCCCCTGATAATGGGTACCCAGTGGGGTGGGGAAGAGAGGTGCCAGGGCAAGTGCTCTGGCTCTGAAGAAACGGAATGGAAGAGGAAAGGATGTCTGTGAAGAGGGACATTCTCTCTAATCTCTATCCTTATTACTATTTTTTACTTTATTAGTTTATGTTAGTATCTCTGTCTCGTACTCAGTTTTCCTCTTTTTCAATTTTTCTTTCTCCTTCTTTCTCTCTCTCTTACACACACACACCCCCCACACATGTGGGCACACACACAAAGTTTCCCAGGTTTCCCTCCCAAATCCAAGAAGAAATTGTTCCTTCTTCTATATCTCCAGTTAGCTCCTAAATCACGACTTCACTGTTCGGGATGATAAGCTCTTCTCCCGCTTCTCTTTTCTCAGACCCCAAAGTCTTCCCTCAGACTGCTCTGGTGTCCCCCACCCCAAGTTCCCTGCCCAAACTCCTCACTACCAGCCTTTGTTCCCTGAAGTTTGAAAAGCCCCTGGCCAGCAGCAACACCTCAGTCAAACCTGGGCCCCTCAGGGGTGCCTGTCATACCCTCCATCTTCCAGCCTTCCAGCCCTAATCAGGGTGCAGCTTGCTTGCTTGCCAGAGACCTCCGAAAGAGGAAGAAAAAAAGGCAAGGAAGAAACCAAACTGGGATCTAATTGCCTCCCAAGCATTCCAAATGGGCTCTGTATTCCAGAATTAAGAAGCCCCCACTCCATCTCCTACCGCATTTGGGGGTGCATATCCTCTGAGATTTTCTCCAGGTTCGTTTTCTTGCTTCTCGGTCCTCCTTTTCACTCCCACCCCATTATGCCCCACTGCCTTCTGTAGCCAGAGGGACCACAAAGGGTTGAGGAGGCTTGGGGAGGAGAGGGGTCTGCTGTTGTCTCTGGAACACTCCTCCACCTCCAGCTCAGCTCTACGTCCGTCCGCTTCTCCTGCAGCCGGCCCGAGGCTTGCTGGGAGCCTTCTGGGCTCTCGTATTATCCCAGAGGCAAAGCTGTGCAGTCCCAAAAGCGATGAGATTCTCCTCTTCTCTCAGTTTTACAGCGAGCTTCTCTAACCCAATGATATTAACAGCTAGGACAGCAGAGGATGTGAGGTACATTCTTGGCTTTTATTTTATTTTGGGGAGTGAGAGAAAAAAATCCCAAAGGTGCTGGTTCCTTTAAAGCCTCTGGAAGCCTCCCTGGCCCAAGTCCTCGACCCACCAGGCTCAAAGTTACTTGGGTCTGACCCCGTAGGTCTCTAACCAGAGTGTAGAGATCTCAGGACAGACTTTTTGCAGTTACATACTCAGGCAGCCTTAACAGATCTCTTTCGAGGTCTGGGCTGGCTTGAGCCCCAAGTCTAGGTCTGGCTTGGACATTTTCTTTTCTTGATACTACTAATAAACACAGAAAAATAGCTTCCACCCTCCATCCTCACCTCCCACCTCCCCCAACTCATGCTTCCCCCAGCCACCAACTTTCTAGGCAGGAGGTGGGGTCCTCAGGACATTACATTCTGAGGCTCTGCATGTGGCTCCTGTTGCTGGAGGGCAAGAAAGCCACAGGTACCCCCAGTTTATCAGAGCCCCCAGAAACCAGCTGCTCCAACTCACCTGGCCTGACTTAGCCTTGCCTGGAAGAAGTGGGGGCCGGAGGCCAGGAGCCACTCCCTTTCTCATCCCAAAGTAGATCCTGTGAGTGGGGAGTGAGAGGAATGAGGGAAGCTTTGCCTGACACCACCATCCTATCCTGGAGGGGACACAATAGCTGGAAATCATCTCTCACCTTTGATTTCCCCAGTCCCATTCCCTCTCCTGGTGCATCCAGATGGGAGAAGGCAAAAGCCAAGTATTCTAACCAGGAAGTCACAGGGTAGTGCCTTATACAAAGTTTAGAGAACCAGTTTTCCAAGCTGCTTTTAGAGACATGAGTCTGCTTTCTATTTCATCCCGTAGCTCCGAGTCAGCAGTTAGGCAGAGTTGCAAACACTCCTGCTTTGGGAAATGTCCTGGTGCTCTTTTTGTCTTTTCCTTCCTCCCGGAGTGACTATTCCCCACCCCCATCCCAAATCTGCAGACACCTACATTTTTGGCTCCTGTCTTCCTCCTACAGGCCTCCTCCCTGCCTTTTCCTGCCCTGCTCAAACACACCCTAAGAAAACTTCAGCTTTTGTGGCCTTCCTCACTTGTGCCAAGAGTCATAAATCTTGCAGGGCAGAGAGAAACAAACAGGGTTGTTCTGAATCATAATAATAACCATCTTCCATCTCTTCTGCCAGGGCATTTAAAATTAAGCCACCCTGCCAGTTCTCCCCTTCTTAGAAGTACAAATGTCCTTCTCACCTCTTAGCCCCTTCTGCCTATCCAGAGGTGAGGATCAGAAGAGAAACTTCTCCGTGAAGTTCTTTCAGCCCCTCTACTGCCAGCCAGTCTGGAGCTCAAGCTAAAACACAGGGTCCTCCTTTTGTCACCCTTTTCTCAACCCTCCTCCCCCTGCAAGATGTTCTGGGTTTTAAAAATCACTCACCGCTTGTTGTCTGTTCTCAAAAAGAACAGGGGGGCGGGGTGTTTTTTAAAAAAAGGTCTGGTCTTTCCCTCTCCCTTGGTTAGAGACTGGGCCTGGAGATTAGGGGGAGATTTGGGGAGGAACAGAGAGGGTGTAGTGGAAGGAAGAAGCTGGGGCTGGAGATTCAGAAGGAGGGAGTCAGACTGCGAGTGTTGGAGGCCCAGCCACCAGTCCCTGAGGAGCTAAACTACTTTCTAAAAAAGTCCTGGCGTTCCAATTGCGAATGAGCGCAGAGGGGCACCCGGCACCCCCACCCACTCACCCCCGGGCCAGGCCTGCCTTGGACTCAGCCTCCAAATGCTACTTCTCAAATTAGCATAATGGTTTACTAGTGGGATATGGGGGGAGCTGTGAACTTCACCACCCATCCTTGCCTTTGCTCACTTCTTCCTCCTTGTCCCCCAAGTCTAGATTTAAATTTTTACCTGTTTTTAAAAAAAGAAACCCTCCCTTCTTTCCTTCTCACTCTTCTTTTGGGGAGGGGGGTATTTTAAAATTTCCCCCCTTCCCCATCACCACCATCACCTTCCCTCCTTATCAGGCATCTAAGCTTGCTAAAGGGGGAGAGGTGGGGGGGTGTGTGAGCTTGTGTGTGAGTGAGTGAGTGTGTGTGTGTGTCTGTGTGGTTTTTTTTTTCCCTGTGCAAAAGCAGAGGCCATTGTTACGGAGAGTAGGGCGTACCAGTCTTATAGGGCAACCACACTGTGGCGGCTTAGCCCTGCTGGAGCTGGGAGCTGGATTCTGGCGAGCTGAGCCTCCGGCACCTTTCGGTCTTCTATTTTTTTTCCCGCTCCCCAACCCCCTTCCTTCTGCGCACCCCTGCTCCTAAGCCGAGTGAATTGAAGCGGACGCCGCGCAGCTCCTCTGGCCGGCCTGCCCCTCCGGCCCCAGCCGGGGTGGCTTTGGGGGGGGGGGCGACGCAGCTTTAAACAGTGGTCTTTTTTTCCTTTGCCTTCAAGGAGGGGAGATTTCTCGCCTGCCGCTCGCGCTGGGGCTCGATGTGAATATATATTATGTCTGCCTGTTCTCCCCTCGTCGGTGGCTAAGGTAAGCTGGACTGAAATAGGCTATCAGTTTGTGAATGGCGGAGAGTATGTCTCAATGATTTATGGCCCATATGACTCCAATCTCGGTTCAAGAAGAGTTCACAAGCTTTAAGCTTCCTTCCACGCAGCGACTCTCTCCCTCCCTCCCTCCCTCCCTCTCTCTCTTCTCTCTCTCTCTCTCTCTCTCCCTCGCTCTCTCCCTCGCTCTCTCCCTGTCTCCCTCTCCCTGCTTCTTTCCTCTTTTCTCCTCTATTTTCTTTCAGCAGCCAGATCCAGGGATGAATTTTCTCCCCGGTTGCTAAGAAAGTCTCAACCTTCACTCTCTTTCTTTCTTGTTCTTTTATTTTTCTTCTTCCATTATTTTTTTTTAAGTCCTGGAAGATGGCTTATCCTCTCTCTCGGGGCTTCCCCAGCTATTGTTACTCTCCTGGCTCTCCCTGGGGTGTGCCTGGCAAGATGGGGTTCTTGGGGGGGCTCACCTCCCTTCACCGAGACCCTGGGGGAAAGCCGGCAGCCACCGTCTCCCTCCCTCCCTCCCAAGGAGCCATATGGAACCTGAATTTTTCCAACATGGAGGCAAGGGAAATAGATCTGTTTGGCTTGGTAGAGCTGTTCCCCACCCCCTCTTGTTCTGGATCCCTGATCAGGAAAACCCCCCGACACCTTTCCCTCTTCCCACTGTCCCGTCTGCCAGGCCTTGGCGCCCTCGAGCCCGGGCCCTGCTGAGCAAAGTCCCGAAGTGGAGTTTCTAAGGCGCCTTTTAATTCGGTTACTTCCAGCGCCCAAACTTGCTGCCGCCTGCGGAGCTCAGCCCTCGGTCAGCTGGTGTGCTGGGAACCTGCTGCCGATAACCGATTTGGTGTCCTGATCGCTTGCTCTTTGCGTAGGGACTGGTAGTTCGTCGCCAGCCGCCGAGGCAGCAGCGGCCGAGGCAGCCTGGCAGCAGCAGCCAGGGACTACCCGGGTGCACAAACCTTCCCGGCCCTGTCTGCACAACCAGCGGAGTCTCCATTCTTTCCTATCGTGTCTCTGGCTCCTTCGCTTCGAACAGTCGCCTGGCCTCCGTCCGGCGATGGTTTGGGGTTTATTGCAAGGGGAGCGACAGGAATTTCGGCCCCAGGTGGCTAGTCAAATTATTGTTTTAGTATTATTACTATCATCATCGTCATCATTATTATTGCTGTAACAATCATTGAGACTAAATAAAGCCAGGGCCCAGCCAGCCAACTCCCTCCAACGTTTTTATTTCATTCTCTTCTCTATCTATTAATAACAACCCCAAATAATGCCTGTTAATTAATTCCCCCTTCAGCCAGGGCTGCTCAGAAGCTAATTTTGGTTAAATCAGCAGAGGCTAATGGTAATAATAATAAAGAGATTGGGTCAGCCTGGTCAATTGAACTCTGGTTCTCCCTGGAAGGACCTGCTGCTTTGCAGACCCATGTGTATTTCCAGAAACCAATGGGAACTCAGGGTTACACCGATTCCGTTTTGAGTATAAATCTGTGCCATGAAGAAGGGGATTTATGTAAGGAAGGACTTTCTTCACCTGCACTCCTTTTATTTTATTTTATTTTCCTATATTTAGTTTTCTTTGGAGTTGACCAGCTGGGCTGAATAAGATTTAAGTTTTCCAAACACACATGGCAGTATGGAGGTTTTATGAAAAGTGATGGTGAAGAGTTGAGAGAGACAGAGGGGAAAAAAATGCAGTCAGAAGTTTCAGAACAAATACACAAAATCCTGTTAGTTTGAATCTTTATTTTTCTGGCACACTTTTAAAAGGCTGTATTAAAATAGTGATTTTTTCCCCCCTCAGGGAACCTCAGTCAACAGGGATACCTCTGTTTCTAACCCAGAGAATAATATTTTTCAAATTGCTTTGTTGATTTTTCTTTCTCAGGAATAATTTTCTCTTTTGGAAAGCACTTTTCCCATCTCAGTAGAAAAGTCTAGCAGTTGTAACTTCTTGTTTCTTCTTTTCTTTTGGAGAAATAGAAGAAAACAGACTGTGAAGGAAAGGGTTGGAAAAATTAAGTCTCATGGAAAAAGAGAGAGAGAGAGAGAGAGAGAGAGAGAGAGAGAGAGAGAGAGAGAGAGAGAGATAGGTTTGGGGAGAGACCAGGGCCAAATGGTCACAGCACCAACTGGCCCGACCCTGGAAATTGAAACAGTCCTCTCCATTTGGGGGCCCCAAGGGGCCACTGGCTGCCGGGTCCCAGGCTTGGCTGAGCAAAGCCAGGGACTGGAGGTGGCAGTACCTGCAGCAGGGCCATGGATGGATGAGTCTCGGTTCAGCTGGCTCTGGAGGCTAAAAATCATCAGGAAGTTTCTGGGTCAGGCTGTTGTCTTCCTGGTAGGGGAGTGGTGGGAAGAGGAAAGGACACTTCAACTCCCGGGAGAAGCTTCTCTGCTGAACTTGCTTCTCCTGCCTGTCTTTTTAGGAGGTCCTTTGATTTTCCTCAGGCTAGACTTTGCTTGGGCAAGAGACCTAAACCGACTTGGACGGAGGCAAAGGCTGGAAGCATTTTGGGCTCTGAGGAGGGTGCTGATGATGCTTTTATTTTGGAGTCTCCTACTGTCTCCTCCCTTGAGCCACCCTATCCCCAGAGTTGGGGAGGAGAGATGGGGAGAGAGGGAGCAGGGGAGGTCAGGGGCTAGTGCACAGGCAGAAGAGAAGCAATGGCCTTTGCCGTACATTGTACCTCTAGGTAGTCCTGAAAGGCATATAGTCCTCATTTATTTTTCTTTTAGTGAAAATGAAAACTAGTGGGCTTTATTTTTCTTTAAAATTAAAGAGTTAAAATAAGACAAATCCATTTCAAGTTGGGGACAAGGCCTCAGCATCTGCTTTGGAGATGTCGGGGAGGGGAGAAGAAACCCTATTGCTGTCAGTTCCCTTTTCAGTTCCTAAGATGGATTCGAGCCCCAGTCCTCTTCTCCCCCTTGTGTCTCTTCTCTCGTCCCGCAGGTCAGCCGTTTGGAACAAACCCCGGAGGAGGGGGTCACGGGGGGGGGGTCCGGCGTGTCACGTGACCCCCAGGGTTGCCAATGTCCGGTCCTGAGGGTATCAGGCCTTTGCAAGTTGCCACCCACTGCCCGGGCCTCACCCAGCGATGCAGAAAGCCACCTACTACGACAACGCCGCGGCTGCTCTCTTCGGAGGCTACTCCTCGTACCCTGGGAGCAATGGCTTCGGCTACGACGGCCCCCCCCAACCCCCATTTCAGGCCGCCACACACCTGGAGGGCGACTACCAGCGCTCAGCGTGTTCACTGCAGTCCCTGGGCAATGCTGCCGCACATGCCAAGAGCAAGGAGCTCAACGGCAGCTGCATGAGGCCCAGCCTGGCCCCCGAGCCCCTGCCCGCCCCGCCCGGCTCACCCCCGCCCAGCGCCGCACCTACCAGTGCCACTAGCAACAGCAGTAATGGGGGTGGGCCCAGCAAAAGTGGTCCCCCCAAGTGCGGTCCCGGCACCAACTCCACCCTCACCAAACAGATATTCCCTTGGATGAAAGAGTCGAGGCAAACGTCCAAGCTGAAAAACAGCTCCCCCGGCACAGGTACCAGTTCTCTGCCTTCCTTGTCATCAGCTTTTGTCCGAGCCAGGAATGTCACTGTTATTTCTAGCACCCAGCCCCTAGGCGCCCACGAGACTGGGAACAATATTAGGTGGCTGTCGGGTACATTTTTGATACCCCTACCCCCGAATGACCCCTGACTCAGCCAATACCCTCCTCCCTCTAGCCGCCCTCCACCGGAGCTTCTGAAAGCTCCAGAAGGCCCGGTGCGTGGCCTCAAAGCCCTTCCTAAGGCCACAGAGCCTAGAAGAGGCGCTGCCGGGAGGATGCAGAGTCGTCAAAGATTGATTATTATTAAGTATTATTACAGTGGGTATTAATCACAATCGCTCGGACGGCCTGGGGTTCCGGCCTCCAGGCGCAGCAGCCTCTTCGTGCCACACTTTGGGGTCCTGCCCACGAGGGTTCTCCTCAATCTCTCATCCTGTCCTCAGGACCAGGTGGGCGAGGAGGGGAAACGTTTTCCCCGACCTGGATTTGGGGATGGGGGAGAAAGCACGCACGCGAAAATCCAGCCCTAAATAGATGGCTATGCGGCTCTGTCTGCGTGACATGATCAAATTTTCATAAGCTGGGGCAGGGAAAGGAGAACAGGTCTCTTAATAAATGCCACTATTATAGAGTGTCCGCTAATGCGACGGGCGGTGGGGTGGGGGAGTGGAGGAGGAGGCGGGGACGCGAAGGGGAGGCGGCGGGGGCTCCCAGTCCAGGCCTGGATTTATTAAGAAACGATGCATTCAATTTCGGTGTGTTCAGTAATTATCTTTTATTTCATTTTCTCCCCTTCCCACCCCTCCCCCTCGGATCCAGCAGAGGGCTGTGGTGGCGGCGGCGGCGGTGGTGGCAGCAGCGGCGGCGGAGGCGGTGGCGGCGGCGGGGGCGGCAGCGGCGGCGGCGCTGGAGGGGACAAGAGCCCCCCGGGGTCGGCAGCGTCCAAGAGGGCGCGAACGGCGTACACGAGCGCGCAGCTGGTGGAGCTGGAGAAGGAGTTCCATTTCAACCGCTACCTGTGCCGGCCTCGCCGTGTGGAGATGGCCAACCTGCTGAACCTCAGCGAGCGGCAGATCAAGATCTGGTTCCAGAACCGGCGCATGAAGTACAAGAAGGACCAGAAAGCCAAGGGGCTGGCCTCGTCGTCAGGGGGCCCCTCTCCCGCCGGCAGCCCCCCTCAGGCCATGCAGTCCACGGCCGGCTTCATGAACGCCTTACACTCCATGACCCCCAGCTACGAGAGTCCGTCCCCGCCTGCCTTCGGCAAAGCCCACCAGAATGCCTACGCGCTGCCCTCCAACTACCAGCCCCCTCTCAAAGGCTGTGGCGCCCCGCAGAAGTACCCCCCGACCCCGGCGCCCGAGTATGAGCCGCACGTCCTCCAAGCCAACGGGGGCGCCTACGGGACGCCCACCATGCAGGGCAGTCCGGTGTACGTGGGCGGGGGTGGCTACGCAGATCCGCTGCCGCCCCCTGCCGGCCCCTCCCTCTATGGCCTCAACCACCTTTCCCATCACCCTTCCGGGAACCTGGACTACAACGGGGCGCCCCCTATGGCCCCCAGCCAGCACCACGGACCCTGCGACCCACACCCCACCTACACAGACCTCTCCTCTCACCATGCGCCTCCTCCTCAGGGTAGAATCCAAGAAGCGCCCAAATTAACACACCTGTGATGGGAGAGGGCAGACCAGGGTTAGGGGATGGGGAGGAAGAGGGAGACTGTGGAGCTCTGTGGGGGCAGCCTGGACGTCTGAAAGAGGGGCCAGGGAGGTGGTAGCCAGGCTTCCTGGGCAGAACCAGCCAAAAGCTCCTTCCCCTCCCCCGGCCTGAGAGGTTGCTTTTAAGTCCTCCACCCCTTGTTCCATCTGCCTGCCAACCCATCGGAAAGGAATCCACAGCAGATTGGAGATGACCCCATCAACCGCAGGGCTCCAGCACTACCAAGTTGGAATTCCACGCCCGGGAGTGGGGCAGAGGAAGATGAGATAGGACGAGGCAGAGAAGCACATTTTAAAAACTAGACAAGATGGCTAGGCCATCACCACCCAACGGACTTACCTTACATCTTTGTAGGTAATTCCCCCCAAATCTTGATTTTTTTTCCTCAATTCTCCTTTAAAAAAATAAGAAAACACACTTCAGATCCAAAGGGCACAAAGCACGTTCCCTTTCAACTTCCCCCAATCCTCATATTTGTTCCCGTTTATTGAGGTACCTACCCCCTCCATTTCCAGCCCCAGGTTTTTCTGCTCTAAGACATTCATATCTATACATCCCACCCTCATCAATTACAGCTTTCAGAGGGCTCAGGGATGGTGAGAAATCCTGAAAGAGCTGCCTATATTATAAATTATATATATATATATATATTTTTAAGGAAAAGTGTGGAGGCTAGGGCAGGCAGGTTGTTAGGACTGAAGCCTTGCCCATTCTGCTGCCTCCATCTCAGCTCCAGCTCCATCCCCCTCTCTCCACAGAAAGCGGTTGGTGACACGAGGTTCTACACTTTTCATTTCTTCTGTTGCTCTCTTGACTTAACGTGAAAACAGGGTATATTTGAACAAACTGACTGTCCCAGGCAGGGGCTGCTGCAGGACCTGTATGCCTTGCTCAGCCTCCTGACAGGACACTTTTGTTGCACTTAGAGTTTACATTTTAATGGATATAAAAACAACTGTGAGAGATGTCTGGGCCTGCAGAAGGCCGCATCGCTCAAAAAAGCGTGTGTTCTAGTGAACATTTTCATATATATTTATTGGTTATAGCCTGTTAAAATATTTTCTTTTTTGTATTATTTATCCCCCTACATTATGTATTTATATGAGGGAAAAAATGAAAAAATTGTACTTTTTTAGTATTTACTTGTTATAAAGGACATTGTGTTTCCTGTCATGTAAAACCAGCTATTTTAGTTATTATTGTACTCTAGAAAAGAGCTGTAGATTTATGTTAAACTCGTACTTATGAACAATTGTAATTAGTTCTAAAAGGCATGAACTCAGCTCCTAATCGTCGCTGTATAGTCCTGAATTTGTAGAACTAGAGTTAATTCCCTCTTGGAACTTTCTTTGTTCTTCAGTAGTTACTTTTTTCCTTACCTAAAAGGGTTGTCTGTCAAACAATTCTTGAATAAACTTTGTGTTATCAATTTTATCTTGTCCTGCTGGTCCAATTTAGATAGCAGAGCAAGGCTGCTGACTGCCAAATTTCCCCCAAGGGAAGAAGGACAAGGACACTGAAGACCCTTCCCTGGCCTTTTTGTCCACTGCCCGGGTTTCTATCTCCCCCTTGATATGTATCAGGTTTAAATACCACTTTCTCACTCATAAGAGCCTGGAACATTTTGCCAACAATTCTTTAGCTGTGGTTCAAGTCACAAGTTGGGAGGTAAGGGGTGACTCTTGGGTGCTCTCTGTAGGTTTTTCTGCTTGGCCTCTGTGCCTCTCGGTTTTTCATTCATTGACATTTCGTCTGTTAGCTCCTTTGGCCACAACCTCCATGCACCCCTTCCCCCTTCCCACTACCAACAAGAAAATCTGGCCGATTACCGTTTCTTCCACGAAACCTAAACTTCACAGTCCTCTTCCGGAGCTACAAAGAAGTTGTCACGTGACCCGAAGCCCAACCACCATTGGGTCTAAAAGGAAAACAAAGAAAAATGATTAATCTAAAAAAAAAAAAAAAAAACCTGAGGCTTAGACTTCTCAGGTCAAACTTTAAAACTAAGTAAAATTAAATCACTAAATAAAACTCAAGGTGGAGGGAGAGGAGGCACGTTTGATTTCCCGTGCCAGAGAAAGGGGAGAGGAGGGTGGGAGAAGCTGTTGGATCCAAGCGTAAATAAAATGGTCCCCAGGCTAATGTGCGGCTCTGTTTCCACCATCCTTGGGAAAACTTCATTTCTTAGTCGTGGTTCCATAAAAGTTTTATCACATTGGAGTGAGAATAGAGAGGGTCTGTCAAAGATGAAATGTCACCGCCGAGTCGCTGGAGCCGATAAGAGCGAGAAGACAGGGCGGCTGAAATATGGAGCTAATTCGTTGAAAGAGAAGCGATGGCTGCTTGCTGAAGAGTTGCATAATTCTAATTGTAAGCGATGTGCGCGCATTGCTTAATTAGGAGCATATATTTGGTGGTAGTGATGTGGGGGGGGGGGGATGAGAATCGTTCCAGGCCCTGCCTTAAAGCGAGGGCTGATTTTCATTTTTATGTTGCATCCTGGCAGTCCAAGGTTAGTAATTATAGTCTTTATGCAATAATAAATAACAATAAAAAAGCAACCTGAATTCTACACCCTCCCCCTTCCCCACCATCAAGTAGGATTTTAACTGGACTCGGCTCATCCAAGCAGCAAGCAATTTAGCATTGGGTCAGGCTATAATTTAAAGGCATAAGAGCGTGCAAAGTTTGATTGGGATCAAATAACGCTCAAGGGTTTTTTTTTTTTTTCTTTCTCTCTTCTTCCCTGAATAACATGTTCTGAATGATACAACCAGATGAAGCGCTATGTTTGGCTCTGGGGTTGGGTTGGGTTGCTTATTTATCTAGCAGGAAAGAGACAGGCCAAGAGAGAAAATTTAGCTTAAGTTTGAAAAACAGAGCTTTGGCTCGAAGCTGGAATTGAAAACAAGAAAAGTAAGAACCAACTTGGCTTGGTGTTCCCTATCCTTCTCTTTGGGAGATTCCAGGAGCTCAGCGAACGCAGCCAAAGACTTGGGTAAAATATCCGTGCTGTAAAATTCACAGCAGGACAGGGGGGCGGAGGAGAGATGTCTCTGAGAAGGAGGGTTCTCTTGGCCCCTTTAACACCCAAGTTTTCCGCTGTTCGCTAATCTGGCCATAAAATCTGTCAGTGAGGGTTAGAGAGAGCTGTATTTCCTGCAGGGACAGTCTCTGCTCGAGTTGCCCAAGATAAGCTCTGGATCCTTCAGCCAGCTGGAGAAGTTGTTGCTAAACTCGCAGAGGTGTTCAAGGGGGTGGCCAGAGGGAGAACCCTCTCTCAGGCCTCCCTGAATGACTTCCAGACAGCTACTATTTGGATTCTTCCATGCCCACCCCCTATCCACACCTCCAAATGGCAAAAATTGTTTTCTTTGGAGCGGAGTTGCACACTATTGTCGCTGGCCACTTTGCCCGGGTTGCAGCAGCTCTCTCTCTCACTTCAGATCCCTCCTGCTCCTGCCTCCCGCTGTCCCTGCAGCCCCCACCTCCAATTCCCCTTTCTCTATCCTCTCCCCCACCTTCATCCTTCTACTCAGAATTCTCTGCCCGTCTTTTTAAAATACTCACCACCACCCACGCAGATACAACATTGACAGAAAGTTTCTAGTTCCAGCTCCGGGCTCGGTTGCCATTTCTTTGCTAACCAGCCTTCTCCTCCTGGCTGGGCAGCAGAGAGACAGGAGGGGGAGGGGAGGCCAGAGCTGTGAGAGTTGTCCAGGCAAACTTTCCACCCAACTTAGCGCCTTCTCTCTGTCCCCATTTCCCATCTGTTTCCCAGCTCTCCCAGAATCACCTTTCTCTTTTGCACCCCCACCCCCACCCCCACCCCCAGGCCTTTTTAAGGGATGTGAAATTTTGGCTGTTCCCTCTGCTTTCCCAAAGAGCCAAATTCTTTGATGCAATCGGAGGGAGCTGTCAGAGGGCTAAGATTGATCGCCTCATCTCCTCTCTGTCCCTCTGACCCATGTATTTAAAAATCTTCCCCCAGATCGACTTTTCATTTTCTGGTTTTGAGGCCTAGTTTCTTGTGCCCTCTCCCTATAGTAAATTACAACATTCTAAACTTTAGACTCTCTTGGTCTTCTCAAAATAAATTAAAAACGTTTTTCCCTAGGAGCCAGAAATGAAGTATCATCTCAGTGGTCATTATTTCCACTCCCACCATCTTCAGGGAATTCTTCCTTGTCAGGGATTTTTTTTTTTTTTTTTTTTTTTTTTTTTTTTTTTTTTTTTTTTAACTAGCACAATGGCAAAAATGGGAGGGAAAGTCTCTTTGTCCTAGGGGAAAAGCTCCCCACCACACCAGGCACACACATATGCTGACCTGAACTTTGAGAGTGCTCTAAGTTAAATCAGTGGCTATCTCAGTTCTTGTTCATGCCCCTGGATATGCATACAGATAGAAGCTTGAGGCTGGAGTGGATACCTGCACATCTTAGACTCTGTCTGTTTTTGGGGGAGGGGGTGTCACAAAGAAGCATGGATGCCTCAAAATGAGGAAAGCAGGGGGACGTAAGAGGCAGAGGCAGTGCTGCAAACACTGGGCAGAGAACAGAAGAACCCAGGCCACACAGCTATGCAGGCTAGAGGCCCAAAAATGCCCCATGCTCCATCTCACTTCTATGGGTCAGCCTGGGACTTCCTGTCCATTTTCTAAGATTTAAATGTTGCTTTTGGAGGGTGACATGGGGATAGTGGTGCTGATGATTGTAAATCTCTTTGTTATTTGCACCTTAACACTGACCTTTTTCAGAGTGGAAGCCTCTTTCAACTCCCTCTTTCTCCAACGGGGAGATCCTCACTCATCTTTTCCTGGGGAGGGGGAGAAGAGAAAAGGCTGCTGCTGGCCACGTAAAGAAAGCCTTAATTTACTCTATAAAAATACCTGGAAAAGAGGAGGATTTCTCCCTTAGATTCTCTTCCTTTCCAGGCTTCCGAAACCTCCTCCTAACCGCCGGAGGGATTGAGGAAGAGGTTCCCCTGGCTTTTCTGGAGAAAGGGAGGCACTGGGGAGAGAGCGTGTGAGGCACTGGTGGAGGAATGGGGCTCATGTCGTGTGTCCAGGTCGTGGTCCTCTGGAGTTTTTGAATCAATTAAAGCAAATAATGCTCTCTGTTTTCCACCAGGCCCAAACGAGCGATTGGCGGAGGCCGGTCCCGTGACCACGAATTCCCTGTAATTTCGCTGGAGTCCTGGGTTTAATAGAGAGAGTCCCCATACGCTTGTATTTATCAGCAATATACAATCATAAAGGCCCAAAATTAAAAAAAAAAAAAAAAAGAGAGAGAGACCGAAATCTCCCCCTCCCAAAATCGCTCCATTATATAAATCTGGGGGGGGGGCAGGAGGGGGGGTCCCTTCCGATCCTCCCTCCTGACGCCCCCCCCAGCAGCCCCCTCCCCCACCATTGAAAGCCATGAATTTTGAATTTGAGAGGGAGATTGGGTTTATAAACAGCCAGCCATCGCTCGCCGAGTGTCTGACTTCCTTCCCCGCTGTCTTGGAGACATTTCAAACTTCATCAATCAAGGAGTCGACATTAATTCCTCCTCCTCCTCCTTTCGAGCAAACCTTCCCCAGCCTCCAGCCCAGCGCCTCCACCCTTCAGAGACCCAGGAGCCAAAAGCGAGCCGAAGATGGGCCTGCTTTGCCGCCGCCACCGCTGCCGCTCCCCACTGCCCCCGTGGCTCCCGAGTTCCCTTGGATGAAAGAGAAGAAATCCGCCAAGAAACCCAGCCAATTCGCCACGTCTCCTTCCCCGGCCACCTCCGTGGTCCCGGCCTCCGGGGTCGGATCGCCTGCAGGTCAGTAAGCGTGGTGGGGGTGGGGTGAGGGGCAGCTAGAAGAGGGGGAGAAAAAGCAGTGGGAGGAGGTTAAAAAAAAAAAGGTGGCGAGCCTGCTGGGGTTCCTTCTCCCGTCCATTACTGCTGGGATGGGGAAGCGGACAATCTTCTCTGGGTTCAGGCCTGGCGGCTGCCAGGGCCTTTTTTCTCTTCCTGACCCTGATTTTTGAAGCTGGTTAGGGAAACGCCTTTTCTCTGCTAAAAGAAAATGATTCTATTGAGGTTTTCACCCGTATCTATGTAGGGCAATGAGTGTGTTGCTGGGATTGCCTGTAAAAGCAGGAAAAGATTCGATTCGGTCCTTTCTGCCCCAACACTAGAAGAGGAAGAATTCTGAGCTAGGGAGGAAGAGGGGGTGAAGAACAATCTTTATGACCCTCACTCAGGTTGAGTTGGAAAGTTGTATTGAGGGGTCCACTGGGAGGGCTTGGGAGGGGGAATCTGAGGTTCCGCCGCGAAAGGGAGCCGCTTTCCACCCCCTGCGTGGCCCGTGGGCGGCTCTGAACGCTTTGCCCTGACCCGGGCAGGGCAGGGGCTGTCGACTAGGGAGGGAGAGAAGGGAACCCAAAAGCAGTGAAAGCGAGCCGCTTTGGGGTGGGGGGCGGGGATGGGGTGGCGAGGAAAGGGAGAGGTGATACTGGTTTTGGCGGATGGGGTAGTCCTTATCCGAGGTTGGGCTGAGCACACGGCCCGCTATGACGCCCAGCCTGCTTTTTCTGCAGATGGCCTGGGACTGCCAGAGGCTGGTGGCGGCGGGGCGCGCAGGCTGCGCACGGCTTACACCAACACTCAGCTGCTGGAACTGGAGAAGGAATTCCACTTTAATAAGTACCTGTGCCGGCCGCGCCGCGTCGAGATCGCGGCCTTGCTGGACCTCACCGAAAGGCAGGTTAAAGTCTGGTTCCAGAACCGGCGCATGAAGCACAAGCGGCAGACGCAGCACCGAGAGCCGCCCGATGGGGAGCCTGCCTGTCTGGGCGCCCTAGAGGACCCCGGCGACCCTGCTGAGGAGCCCGCGGTCAGCCCGGGCGGCCCCTCCGCCTCGCGGGCTGCTCGGGAAGCCTGTTCTCACCCGCCGGAGGGGGTGCCGGGGACCCTGAGAGCCGCGGACCCCCGGCCTTTAGCCGCTCGCTTAGAGGGCGCGGGAGCGCCGAGCCCCGGCTGCATGCTGCGCGGGTCCGGCGGCCAGGAGCGCCCAGAAGACGTCTTCCCAGAGCGCCAGGATTCGCCTTTCCTTCCTGACCTCAACTTCTTCGCGGCCGACTCCTGTCTCCAGCTGTCCAGAGGCCTCTCCCCTAGCCTACAGGGTTCTCTCGACAGCCCGGTCCCCTTTTCCGAAGAAGATCTGGACTTCTTCACCAGCACGCTCTGTGCCATCGACCTGCAGTTTCCCTAACCGGTTTCCTCCTGCTGGCCCTTTCGACCCCCGCGCTCCTTGGCCGCCTGGAAAAATTGAGCCTCTCCCACCCCCAGTCGCATAGTCTTACGTGTTTTGCTAAAATTCAGGTATTACTGAATTAGCGTTTAATCCACTCCCCTTCTTCTTCTAAAATATTGGGCACTCGGGCATCTTTTAAATTCAAACCAAAACTTCGTTTGGTAGACTCCTTCCAGTGAAATCTCAGGAATAATTAAACTGTAGGGGGACTTTCTTAAAAATAACTAGAGGGACCTATTTTCCTCTTTTTTATGTTTTAGACTGTAGATTATTTATTAAAATTCTTTAATAATAGGAAAAGGGGAAAGTATTTATTGTACATTATTTTCGTAGATTAAATAAATGTCTTTATAATACGAAAACGAGTGTTTGTGTTGAGACCTAACCCCTATCCCTGCCCTCCGCCCCCGGCCCCAAGGCCAGTCCTCATCCCTCCAGGACCTGTGAGAAGCTGATTAGGTTCAGCGGCCTAGGTGGCAGCAAAGCCTCCTGGACCGGCCAAGTCCGGGTGGTACAAAGGTGACCCGATGGATGGCCACTTCCCTCACGGCTCCGGCCAGAGTCGGGAGGTTGCAGGAAGCTCGGTCACCTTCGTGCACCTCAACAGAGGGCCTTTGGTCCCAAGCGGGTGGTCCTGGGGCCTCTGCTTAGGAATAAAGATGGGCGGATGTATAGCGAACAGAACACGGTGCAAGGAGAGGAGGCCTGGGGACAGGCTTCGGAGTCCTGGCGGGGGAGCAGAAGTTACCGGGAATTGGGAAGTATCCCAGGGGCTTCATTGCTTAGCACCAAAGCCGCTGTAGGGCTTTTTACTGAACTCAAGAAGCCGAGGGACGCGAAGCCTGGGGCTTGAGCCCGGCCTCTTTGGGAGCTGTAGGTGGCTCTCCAAGGAGTGGAGTGGGGTCGGGGATTTTCTCGGGCAGCAGGGCCTCGCACCCGGGGATGGTAACTGGCCTCCAAGTGGGCAAGAAAAGTGGCCAGCTGAGAAATGTGGCGCTGCCGGGACACCCATGCACTCTGGGGCTGCTGGGGTTTGGGGGAGCATACGAGAAGCAGCCAGGCGACAAGCCCAGGGAGGCCCGGTAGCGTCGCGAGGCGCTGGGCCTGCAGGGAGAGAAGGAGGAGCGAGGACAGCGGGAGGGAGACAGGGAAGCAAAGGCGATGCTCAAAATGGCGCTGGGGCCGGGCGGCGGAGTTGCGGGGGGGAGGCGAGGGAAGAGGCTGCGGCCGCCATGACAGCCGCTGCGGGAGGCGCCCGCCCAGCGGGGATCTGCCCCCGCCCCCGCGTCCTCCGAGCCGGATCTTCTAGACGCCGAGGAAGAAAGGGCGCCTGGGAGTCCCACCTTCGTTTTTGTTTGTTTGTTTGTTTGATTTTTTTTATTTTTATATTAAAAGTGAGCCCAAAGGACGCTGAGGACGCGAGATGTTAGAAGAGTCCGGGTGTTTGCGGGAAAGGAAGGAGAGCGGC